GGGGGGGGGGGGGGGGGGGGGGGGGGGGATGCAGGTTGTTGTCGTGGGGGTGAGCTACGTGGTTGTCAAGATTGGGAATCCCAAAATGTGATGAGAGGACCTTGCTCGGCGCCTGGCACATAGCACAAAAGCATGGGGGTGGCAGCGGCATCCAGCCGCAACACCGTGATGCGCACCACCCCACCTCTGCCACGAAGTTCGCCCAAAAAGCAATATATGTATGCGCGAAACACACTCTGCAGGCAGCTGCGCACCCCAGAGTACAACGAGCTGTTTGCGGGTGACCCCACCTGGGTGACGTGCGTCATCGGCGGCCGCGACGACAAGGGCAAGTCCATGGTGCGCTTCTCAGCCCAGGGGCGGCTGCCCGTTTACCTGTGATCCGGCTTGCAAGCTGCCTGTACGCAGCGAGTCTCCATCACAACTGTCAACATGGGAACTGTGCCTCCACCAATAATGCTGCAGTGCAAGGCCGCGTCATGCCTGCGGCGCGTCACGCCTCTGTGCTTCGGTCCTGTATGCAAGGGGTAATCACGTCCACTACGCACCACGCCGTCCTCTGTCGCAGGTGACCAAGACCAGCTACCGCATGCTGCACACGCTCTACAACCTGGGCCCTGCGCCCGAGCCCAACCTGACGGTGCTCTGGAGCGACGAGCTGCCCGACCACTTCAAGCGCTTCTGCGCCAAGGTGCGGCGGGGCCTGACTTGAGATGCTCGCGGCATACGCGCGCGTGGGCCCTTCCGCCCAGGGCCGCGGCCAACCCCGGTTGGGTACGTCAGCTATGCTCTGAAAGCATTCATACATGGGCTGCCCTGGAGTCTGGTGGCTTTCACACGCTTTTTCTTGATGTGTGCGGCTTTGCCGAGGTACCCATCTGCCTTCTTCATGCACCCTGCTGCATGTGCCTCTCTCTCGCTCTCTCTCCTCTGCACCCTGGTTTACCATTCTCACCCGAGTGCGCCCCCCCCCCCCCGGCCCGTCCTGAGGCCCTGTACCATTCACTCGCCCCAACCCTACACCCCTGCAAATGCTCTCACCACTGCCCCAGGTGTCCCTGGACACGAGCTCCATCCAGTACGAGAGCGACGACCTCATGACTCCCATGTTCGGGTCCGACTACGGTGGGCGTGCACGCAGGCCACAAGGCGCTGCTCAGAGGCTGGCTGTCGCCGCCGCGATGCTGCGCCTGACGCGCCCCGTGCCCGGCACGTGTTGCCTCGCCTGCCCCCCTCTGCCAGGCCCAGCCGTGCTGCCCCTGCTGGCCTCCCAACTGACGGCCTGATCAATTCCTTGCTCCTTAACCCCCCTCCCCCTTCACACACACGCGCGCACGCACGCACACACACACACACACACATACACACATACACACATATACACATACACATACATACAAACATACACACACACAAACACACACAACTGCACCCTCACAGGCATCGCGTGCTGCGTGAGCGCCATGCGCATCGGCAAGGACATGCAGTTCTTTGGGGCGCGCACCAACATGCCCAAGATGCTGCTCTACATCATGAACGGCGGCCGCGACGAGATCACGGGGGACCAGGTGGGGGGGGGCTCTTCAGCAGTTGACCACCCTCTGGCTTGGTGCTGCCAGCCCTGCTCACGCGTTGCAAATTGCCTACTCGCCAGTGACCCAAGTGTTCCTGTGCCTGATCGCCTGCACCCAACCAGCTAGCACCGCACTTGTCATCCTGTGAAGCTTTGCAAGTAGCAGCCTGTCCTGCCCCCACACAGCCAGCGATGCTGCACCTCGAAACACCCTGCACACGCACCTTGCAGTCAACCCCACCGCATGCACCTCAAACAAGTCTTCAATCCCACTTTCAACAACCGCCCCCCCTTTCCCAAAACTCCTGCGCCCAGGTGGGCCCCAAGTTCCCGCCCTTGACCAGCGGCGACGGCCCCCTGAAGTACGAGGAGGTGGTGCAGCGCCTGGACGCCGCCATGGACTGGATCGCGGGGCTCTACACCAACACCATGAACGTGAGGGGGTGGGGCGGGGG